ACTTGTAAGGGGTGGGTGGGCCTTTGCCTGTTTAAACAAAGAACAGGCATTTGCCTGGTCTTCAGGGTTCATCCCAGAGAGAGTCTGGGTGCCCAAACCAGGGCCAAGGACTGCAAAGGTTATGAGATTCTAGAACCAGCACTGCCTCCCTGTTCTGGTCTTTGCTGCTGCCCCAGCTGAGCTTCTTCCATGCTATGGTTTGAATGCTTGTCCCTTCCAAAACACATGTTGAAATTTGGTTGCCACTGTGGCAGTATTAGGAGGTGGGACCTTTAGAGGGTGAAATTAATGCTTTTACATAAGGGTGACTTTAGCCCCCTTTTGCCTCTTTGTCCTTCTGTCATGTGACATGATGTTCCTCCCCTCTAAAGGATAGAGCAAGAAGGCCCTCACCAGATGCTGGCTATGAGGAGAGGCAACTTTAGCAACCAGGCCTCCAACCTCTACTTTTGGAATCACTGTCCAGGGTATGAATGCATCTGGCCTGGTGTGGGGAGGGCATCAGCCCTAACGGTACAGAAAGGGAGACTGCAGCGGGTCCGTTTCTCAGAGAGAAAGAGACAGTGAGAGACAGGAACAGTGAGCAAAGAAACCCTGGGAGAGTCACACCCCTGAAGAAATGTATGGATTGAACCTCCTACGAACAAAAGCTCTCCAAAATTAGGAGGGAACAGACTTAATTCCAGTGAACAGTTTGCAAACCAGGGAGACACAGCCTTTGGAGAAAAATCTAGATGTGTTCCAGAGAACAAGGGGAAGGTTCAGTATACAGCAAAAGTTTCTGCCTAGGGTTTCCAATCAGATCCATTTATGCAAATGAGGGATTCAAACTTGCTTAGTTTTTTTTTTTTATTTCAGCATATTATGGGGGTACAAATTTTAAGGTTTCAATAAATGCCCATTTCCCCCCTCCCCCCACAAGTCTGAGTCGAGTCTCCATCATGACATCCCCCAGATGGTGCAATCTCACTCATTATGTATGTATATACCGCCCTCCCCCCTCCCACTATCCAGTTTTCCCAGCACCATTTATTGAAAAGGGATTCTTTTCCCCAGCATATGTTTTTGACTGCTTTGTCAAAGATTAGATGGCTATATGAGGATGGTTTTATATCAGGATTCTCACATTTGTTCAACTGGTCAATATTCCTGTTTTTGTGCCAATACCATATTGACTT